CTCTCAGATGTGACTTTCCGGATAAAATGTGGTTGGCAAGGCAAGCCAAAAGTGGCGCATGCCAACAGGCTTTGGCGTTATCACGGTCCAGGACATATCACTTGGGACGAAGTGGAAAACAGAACAAATGACGCTGCTGAAGACGTGCCACATGAAAAAGCCACTGTCGAAGAAGAAACTCTACTCAGTTTTGAGAAGGGAAACGGTGAAGCTCTTGATGAAGTTACTACCACTGATGTGACTGTTACCGACGATAGGACATTTCCTGATGAAGCAGATGAACCCCACGTGAAGCAGAAGCCAACAAGACGGAGACCAGTACAGAAGAAGATACGTCCCGTAAAATTAAGAGACTTTGTTGAATTGTAATTTTGTGATTGTAATTCTGTACATTTAATTAAGTTATTGTTAATTGTTATTAGTTTATTGTAAGTGGCTATTGTTCGGGACGAACAATACTAAGGAGGGAGCAGTGTTGCGTCAGCGAGGTCACGTGAATAGTGTCAGAGAAATTATTGTTGAAGTTAACTTTCGCTGTTATAGCGTTTGTTTTAGCGCGATTGTTGAAATTAAGTGTATCGTAAAGTTATATTCGGAAAGAATAAACCAGTTTTATTGAGTAAGGACTTGTGTCGCTAAAGTTTCGTCGGAACGAAGTTACGGAAAATCAATTAACAAACGGAAACGTAACAATAAGTTTAACATAACAGCAAATGTACAACGTTTTGACAAGGTTTTGTCATCATCAGACTCAGTCTCAAAGTGGGTTCCTCGTCATCGAACTTTTATCATTTGTTTCTAACTAAATTTTTATTATTGTTTCATTACCCATGGCAAAATACCTGGTAATCATTCTGATACACTGATCTCAAAACTTAACATTTTTTTTGTTCATTTTGTACCTGGGCACTTTTCAACTTGTGCTTATGGTATTTTGTCAGTTCAAAACTTTACACTAGGGGACAAGTATAACCAAATACAAAATTATATATATATATATAATGAAACATTACGGCTGGCTGGCACAGATATTCCTTGAGTAACTTTGCACAAATAAATAAAACAAATGAGGTGTCATGTATATCAGGCATATCGTGTATTTTTTACTTTATTTTAGAAATACAAGTATTCTTATTTTTTCATTTGGTTAGTTGCTATGCAGTTTTAGAATGAGCACATTGTTCTCTATAACATATAGATCTTACTGTTTTTAAGTGGACCTACCTAATACTTGCCCCAAATTTAGTTCACCTAAGAATATTGCCTGGTATATACTGTTACGACAGCGGAAGTCACGTGACCCTGGTAACACGTAATGAGTATCTTGAGTGTTTACCAGACGCCCTCTATTTTGTATATATAAGACCGTCGAGAAGTGACAGCAGACAGGGAAATAAAGACAGATAATCGAGTCAAGCCGTAAGTAAAGTGCGTGAATCGTTGTGAATTATAGTGTGTGTTTAAGTTAAAGTGATTGTGGAAATTAAGTGTATAGCAAAGTTGTATTGAGAAAGAATAAACGAGTTTTATCTAAGAAAGAACTTGTGTCGTTGAAGTTCTTCCGAAAGAATTTTTACGGATAATTAACAAACGGCCAGAGACGTAACAATACAATAACTTTGACTACATACTTAAACTGGTAATAATAGTAATTTAGGCCCACTAAATAGAGGTTTAGAGAATACAGGACTTTGAAATGCACTAATTTCTTTAATCTATAACTGGAGTCATCTAGAAAAAGACCAACAGAAATACGATGAAAAACAATGTTTATTCACAAAGAAGTGCAATCACGATAATTCAATACAATAACAAAAACATAACAAGGGCAAGTGAGTGCTGTACATCTAACTGATAAGAGTAATGTAAAATCCTTACTTAAAAGCTCTTATCAATGGATGTGTCTCTTCTGTAAGTTAAAATAAAAATGTAAACATAAAAATTCTAAGGTTGAGTTTAAACAAAACAAATCCAAATTAAGCTTGGATTTTCAAAAAGGTTAAACTAACAACTAATCTTCTCCTAATTTAATCTAATTCAAGTCACTGAAACAAAAAGTTTAATTCAAAAGTTACACTTACCGAAGAGACAAAAGCTATAGTTCTATAAAACCTATACAAGGTATTTAAATTTTAAAAGTTAACAAAAGATTCTACAAGTTAAAAAACTTGTTGTTATGGAGGAAATCTGATTTGATGTACAAAAATATAATACACTAACAAAGTCAAACTTGCAGACAAAACACACCTTACATCCACGATATGTGTCCACTAGAGTGTGAGCTCTATTGTGTAGCTGCCCTTGATCCACCAGTAGGAATGATACCTTTTTATTTCTGGATGTCATATGCTATCTTCCCTGTGAAAAAATTAGCGAACCCATATCTTGCATTCTCTCAAAATATGGAAAGTTAAAGTGCTGCTTGAGCAAATCTCGGCATCCAAACTGAAAACCCTGAAACACAGAAATTTTGAAAAAATAAATAAACTTACATCGTAATTAAGGGTGTAACAAAAAACACATAGTATCATCCTATACTACACATGTTAGATTCTTGAATATCTCATTATTACTCTGATTAAGTGGTACATGCTTAGTTTATTCTAAATATTGAAATGCTACCCCAATCAACTAATTTTGTGCTGATGTAAGGAGCTAGCTATTTCAAGAGAAAAAGAACAGTAGAGCCTTATTGATCTAAAAGTAAGAACAAAGGACCCTCAGGTGAATTGAGGAAAGTGCTATGTTTAATGTAGAGTGATCTCCCACATTTTGACAAGCTTTCCAGATAGTTTTACATGATGTACAATTTTTGTTAGATTTGCTAGCTTAAACGAATGAGAACCACACCACATCTGGTCACTGATCTGCCATTTGTATATTCCTGCTGATTTGCTGGTTAAACATATAAGAACTGGATGTGTCTTGGTATGTGTCCAGTGGTGTATTTCTGATGGGTCATGAGGGAGTGTCAAACTGTCACTTCAAATGGAGGAGGAACACTGATCTTACACCTCAAATGTAGATTACCTCCCATGTTGCTTTTTATACATTGAAATGTGGATCAATGGGAGTATAACGTGTCTCTATTATTCAATATGTAGGATAAAATAAGGTTTTTATAATTAATTGAAGGCTCTCTGACATTGCATATACTGCTGCTTTACAATAATTCACCTCATACAATGGATTTCTAATTAACTAGTAAACATAGCAGCCATATCAAATAACTAGTTTAATAATTAATCAACTGTTCTATGAATTTCGGCGACAGTGGATAACTCTGCCATGGAATATCAGCTTGCTGGTTGCACAAGCAAAACTGAGTGGCTCTGCAGAAGATCTATGCCAAAGATGCTGTTGTCAAAACCAAAGTTTGGAACTACTTCCTTCATTCAGAAAACGACACTTCCTAGATGTAGTTAGAACATGAACTCTCTATTCACACTTAGTCTATTCCCATTCATCAGAACAAAATTTGTGCTGATTAGCCTGAGTAGCTTGATTAGTTGATTGGCCTCATTCATAGCACATGATATATCGCAAGATCTATGAGTAGTCTTGATGCTCGTATTTCAATCAGAAACTCTGTCTCTCATCCTTGTCTTTTAACAGGAATGTACCAAGAACCACTCAGTTTCAAGTGTAAGTGGTTTGTTGCACACCCCAACTTGGGCTCCTCTGATTTCCTAGTGTTGTAGCAGTAGTATTCACTACTTCCTGCTCACCCTTCTGCAGCTATTGCACTATCAGTTGAAAACAACAACCTTGTCTGCCTTGCTGTTTTGCAAGGCATAGACAGTTCATTCAAAAATGGCCCAACACTCCACAGGCAAAGCACATGTTTCATGCATCCCTTCAGGGTAACATCCTGGCAGAGGCACTGTGGCACAGATTCTGGCATATAAACTATGGGAGGACCATTCACTGGACACCACTTTGGTTGCATTGTAATACTGGGACGAGTGAATATTTGGTTAAACCTTGACTGGGTTTAAACCTTGTGTATGTGGGTGTCTGGATAAAATGGTCTATCTGAAGTAAAATCACTGTGACTGCTACTATAGACTTCTTCCTCTTTTGTGACTAGCTTAAAATTACCACTTTGTACAGCAAGGTAATAAATACTATCTCATTAAAGGTGAGAAGACCTCTGATACCCTAGTGAAGCCGTATAATCTCACTGGATAGCCCTTTAACGATGATCCATTGAGGTAAGCCTTACCATGCAAATTGGGCAATTATCCATGTAACAGGTCAAATCTTGCATAATACCCCTCTTATCAGCCTTGAATTTGGTCCAGTGATTGCTATATTTTCTACCAGACCAAACTTCTGGCACAAACCAATAATTATTGTCTTACAGTTGCTCTTCATGCAAGTGTTCAGTGGTGTCTTGTACCATTACTTAGAACTAAGCATTGTACATCCCGTTCCATTCCAAACATTTACTTGCCTGAAGGGCTTTAGGAAGTGATTCAACTCCTCCTTTGTTGTACCTTTTAATATTTGTGAAGTTATCTGTTTTACTTTGTTCATGGGGAACTGGAACCTGCTTCCCGACTTCCCAGCCATCACATTATGGAGATGTCCTCAACATCATGGGTACAGCATGGTAGAGACTCACAAAAGTCCCCAACAGTCTGGTGAGTGGTAGGCCACTGCTAAAGGATTACAACCTATCAATCAGTTCTGCTTGACCCCAATCTCCTCAGTGACCAATGGCTATCTCGGCAGCATACCGTCTGGCTCAGGGAGGCTCATCACCGCCACATGCTCCACTCACTTTGCCGTTTGGTTACCACTGAACACTGTATACCAATGGCACCTCAGTTCTCTTTCTGTCATTCTTAACTGGCATTGAGAAGAGCTAGGATTGCACTACACTAGCTGGCATAGGTCTGGGGGGGGGTCCTATTCAGAATGCCCCAATCGGTCTCAGACTTATCAGATGCCACATCACTTTGCAATTCTCAGTTGTCCATGTTTCCCTTACACTGAAGTATAATTGTTTTTATTGTGATGTTCTATACGTTGTTCTTTTGCTGGCTGGTTTCTTTAAATTATCTGTTGAAAGTAATTAACAGATTAGTTTTTTTACTTCTTTAGAAGATATGAAAAAAATAGACCAATTTTCTGTCGAAATATGTAGTATCTCCCCCCCCCCCCAATATTTTCATTATGCTTATAAATCTTTGTTTTCCAACTTATCATTAACTCAGTGTATGCATCACTGATTCACTCTACAAGCTTACGTATCTTTATGACTGGCTCACCCATGTTTATATCTAATAATTGTTCTAGATATTTCGCAAAGTCACTAGATTTTTCGTGACGTCAATTTAGAATATTCTAGACCTACTCTTAGTATATCTTTAATGTACTTCGCCCTCTAGGTAATAAACAAAATACAATATGAAAATATAGCTTATAACAATAAATACAGAATAGTTTGTTAACGTAACCTAAATATACAGTGGTTCACATTCATGCTGGTATTTCTCTTTTTGTTTTTGTTTGTTTGTAATTATGCACAAAGCTACACGATGGGCTATCTGTGCTCTGCCCACCACGGGTATCGAAACCCGGTTTCTAGCGTTTAAGTCCGCAGACATACCGCTGTGCCACTGGGGGGCGCATAAAATTGTAAAACTGGGAGCGTTTCTTGTTGGACCGACACTTATGACAATAATATTTACAAAATTTAGGGTAATAATCATTTATAAACTAAATGTTCGTTTATGTCATAATACAATAAAATAATATTAGTGTGATACTGATACGGTTTCTAATAAGTCTTAAAACAAAGTACATTTAACTTGTTATGCGTACATAAAATGTATATTGCTACATTATATATATATATATAATTTTTGAACTGAATTTCATTTTTGTTTTGCACGTTTGGGTGCTACCAATATGGCGCCGTTGTGTTATTCAATGTTTTCAGTTTTATTACAAAAGATGCACCCTTTTACAAGTTTCACACGGTCTGTATTGATAGTGATACTGTATCAGATTTTATTGTTCATTATTACAAATTTAGCTTTAAATAAATAATTGGGTACACAAAACCATTTATGGTCAGAAGTAGTTTAAAAATTTGACACAATTGCATGAATAGTCTTATCAGTATCACTGTGTTCGTGTTTTAACTTTTTTTGACTTGAGGTAAAGTAAATAGGCCTAGTACTAGTAGTACTACTAAGTGGTAGTACTGTGCAGCATTGTTATTATTACTGCTAGTAGTACTATTATTAAGAGGAGTTATTATTAATATTATACAATTTAATACTAGTTATTAGCAATAGTTATTAGCAATATTATTAATGTTATTATTAGGGGGTTTTGGTTATTTTTAGATAATGAAGATAACCAAAAATTCACACACCATTGGATTCCACAGTCACAAATTTGTAGATTTCCAATAAAAGTTCAATTATGTAGTCATTAATTAATCAAAAACAAAAACTGTAAATTGACCTTTTGCTCCATGCAACCTTCCCACTGGAACAATGTTAACAAAATATCAGTGGTTGATATCAGATTATCACTTTACCTGGTAACCTGATACTGTGTGACACCCGTGTCAAGGCAAGATAAAATTTAGTCCCAATAAAGTCCATCAATTTCAAACTCATACACGTGTATTCATATCATATTGATAAATGAAATGAAAATTGTCAGTAACCAAATGTTAATAATGAAATGTGAGCTTACCTATGTACCTATGAAAGAATAGGAAAGATTTTGTAATCACCTTGGTTGTTAGCTTGAAATATCTTGATTGATAGATACGTATCAGTAGTAATCTCCACACCTTCTACGTCATATCAGGATGCAATTGATAAATTATTCGTACCACTTTTATCATAAACTGTTGTAACACATGTTCTTATGCTGTAACTACATCCAATGATATCACATAAAGCAAGCAGTTGCCAGGACAATGCATAGGCTCTTTTACAATCCCTATTCATCAGTTCTTGACTTGATGTTGGTTCGAATTGGGCAGACATATCTATGTATCAGTTTATGCACTATGTAATATGCACCACAAAGTTTATTGTTTGGCTTTGTTTCTACAAATTCAATGGCTACAAATGGTTTTAAAATTTTGTTTGTGTGTTTTCAAATAGAAAATGCTTCTGGATCCAATGAAACTGGCCAGACTAAAGTAGAGTATGAAGAGAGCTATCGTTTGGTGTATCACTAATCCTTATTGGTCCAGTGAATTTGAACCAACACCCTGTTTTTGGTTTCAACATTCACTCGCTGCTCACTGACAAATGGCAGACGATGGGTTTAGCAAACACCGCAATGTTTTTAAAACCGATTTACAACTGGTTAGAGTACGGTTGCCTTGAAATAAATCCAGTAAATTCAGTGTGTATTAGTAGTGTAGATGTTTGCATTTGTTTCATGGTGTACAATAATTAGTATCTTGTATATGTGAGATTTATTTATTTGTAACTGAGATTTTGCATTCATTCACTTCCTTGGCCAGGAACTACAATTCTTTGAGACCCCCTACTATTATTAAGCATAGTTATACTATATATTACAACATTACGTATTAACTATTATTACACATGGTATTAATATTATATTAAGATAATAGTAAAAACAGATTTAAGAGTTCATAGATTTACCCAAAAAAATACATAAACTGAAAAGATTTTTATATGAGTATCTCTAATAGTTTCCTTCTTTTGCATCCTTCACCCCCTCTCCACTGCCACAAAACAAAGTTTGGGGTAACCAACTGCACTGGTAATGATTTATGTCTAATATGGGCAAAAAAAAGCCTTGGACAAAACTACAATTAAAGGAGCAAGGGCTTCACTGTGACACACACAAGCACTGAAGGGCAGACAACACAGTGGTTACCAACAACACACATAGGTTTATGTTAGAGGTCACAGGTATTTAGTTTTCTTGAAATAAGGTAATGAAAAACATGAAGTTTAAAGAATGATAAGACCCCTGGGCCAGATAATATTTCCTCAAGGGTTTTGAAAGAGATTAAGGATTGGATATATGAGTCATTTGCTACTACTATTTTTTTTTTTTTTTTATTAAGTCCTTGAATAGTAGACAAGCACCAGAAGACTGAAAGTTGGCTCATGTTACTTCTCTTTTCAAGGGAGATGATAAAAAATGTCTGTAATTATAGACCTATTAGTCTTACATCAGTTGTGGAAAAAGTTTTGGAATGTCTGATAAAAGATGGTTTCCAAAGCCATTTAACAAAGTTTAGAATTTTATTGGATAGTCAACTTGGTTTCACTAAGGGAAAATATTGCCTTACAAATCTTTTGACATTCTTTGTAAAAGTTTCTGCTTATGTAGATAAGGGTAAGGGTGTAGATATGGTGTACCTGGATTTTCAGAAGGCATTTGACAAGGTGCCACATAAAAGACTTGTAAAAAATTATCTCTATAGATGTGGGGGATAAGTTAGCAAATTGGATAGAAGAGTGGCTGGATTGAAGAAAGCAGAGGGTTATTATAATTAGTGTTCAGTCAAACTGTATTAATGTTATAAGTGGGGTACCCCAGCTTTCAGTCTTAGGATCCTTCCTCATTTTGATTTACGTTAATGACATAGATGAAGGAATAGTCAATAAATTACTTAAATTTACAGATGATATTAAGGTCTTGGGTGTTG